CTCTCTCTCTCTCTCTCTCTCTCTCTCTCTCTCCCCTGAAGCTGGGAGGTGGAGGAGATTTGCAGGATAAGGTTTCTGAGTTTCCCTAAGAAATCAGGTGTCAATGAACACAAGGCCATGCCAGCCAGAATTCATTATCCTTAAATCAACAACCTGAGGCCAGTTAAAAATTGCTTTGTAGTCTGGGAGGGAAGGCAGTTTATCCCAGCTGCTTCCCGGAAGGGTGGAATCCCCCTCTTCCAACATTTCCAGTCAGAAAAAAGGGGAAACCATGACAGAGTGGGGCTTTCACATGCTCGGAGCAGAGAGGAAGGCCATCTCACATTCTCTAGTTCTTTAGATAGGGCAACACCCTATATGCTTCCCAAAGCTCTACTCTTCAGTAACCCCATCTCGTTGGCTTGTCACCAGGGGAGCAGGGTTAGCAGGAGCACAGGGCTGTAGCTGCCCCTCCCAATCACCTTCCACAGCCAGCACCCCTGAAAACCAGGTGGGACCCTACAAGGGGAGGCAGGTATAGGATGGGAGGAGCAGTGAGTGTGAGGATTGCAGTCTCCACTGGTGTACATGGGGTCCCGCAAGGCTGGGAGGGAACACTGAGGACCGGAACGGGAGGGAGAAGAGGATCATTTCACACAGAAGCAACTGGCCTGCGTTCTTGGGGCAGGGGCCTGCTCAGGCCTGCGGGGGAAGGCCCGGCTCCGAGTGGGGAAGCGGGCCTTGGGATGCAGAGGAGAGAGCTAGGGCAGAGGTGCTGGAAATACAGCCAGGGCGAGGAGGGGTGGGTTAGTGGGAAGGGGAGAGCTGTGGGGAAGGGGCCAGGAGGGGGACAGAAGGGAGCAGCAGGGAAAGCAAATACTTCGGGCAAGGAGTAAGGGAGGGCGGCGGAACAGAAGAAGGGGTGGAGGATTGGAGACGGCGCCAAGGAACGGGGAGCAGGTGGTAGGCCGCGGGACGGGGGAGCGCGCGGCAAGGTGGCGGTGGGGGTCCCTCCTAGGCCAGCAGCCAGCCTCCCCCTCCACAGGCGGGTTCAGGCCTGGACACGCGGGCACAGGCGTGGGGGTGAGGGGAACGGACATAGCTCTGCTGGCTTGGCGACCCGGCGGTCCGGAGCAGCTCGGGGCGTGAGCCGCGTCCAGAAGCAGCCCCGAGGGGCCTCAGTCCTGCGGGCGCCCCCGGGCGGAGGTGGGAGGGGACAGAGGGGACCCCGAGTGATGGCACCCGGTGGAAGCACCTTGCCCCGTCGGCAGGAGACCTGGGTTTGGATTCGGATTCATCCACTTGTTAACTCGTGTGCTCCCTCGAGCCTCATTCTCCTTCCCGGTTCCGTGGAGAGAGGCGGGGCGCGCGGGGCCGGTGGGCTAGTGGGCGGTGCGCACGGCCGGGGAAATGCGGTCTCGCCGGCAGCAGGTGCCCGGGCTCCCCGCCCTCAGGCCGCCCCGTTGGGTGGGCGGGCGCTCTGTCCCCTTCCCCTCGCCCCAGGCCGCCCCCCCCGCAGCTCGCACGCTTCCCGGGACCGCGGAGGACCGGGCGCGCTCGGTCGCCAGGTGTCGCTGCCCCTCATCGGGTCCGGGCCCCGCGGAAGATGACGTCACCGGGGCGGGTGAGCCCCGCGCGCGGGGGAGGGGTAGCGGGCTCCCCTTGTTGCTGGGACTGGAAAGCGGTTTTTGATCTGCTGACTCTTGTTTAAGTCTGGTAGGAAGGGCTTCCCGAGGTGACAGGTGCGCTTGGAGTCTCTAGATTTGGAGCCCGGTGGTCTGTCCCGGTTAGAAGGCCAGCGTCGTCCTGGGGCCCCCGCACTGGCCTCGGTTCAGAAAGTGGGGGGACCTCTCATCAGAAGAAGCTCTAGGGGCGGCCCGAGCTCTCCTTTCTCGGCTGTGTGATCCTGGACCTGTCAGTTAACCTCTGTGGGCGGAACTTGGTCTGCAAAATGGAGACGATATTGGGATCCCCCTCAGGGAGTTGAGGGATCAGCTGGTGACCTGGGAGAATGGAAGTCCCTGCTGGACTTAGCTCCAGCCAACAGCCTTTGGGGTCTGGGAGGCAGCACAGCCTGTCTCCCCTCTCCTGGGACCATCGCTTTTTTAGGTCACTGGGGGACAGGCCAGTTGGTAGAGGAGCAGGCAGAGTGTGCCCTGGGATCAGAGGTTTGCTCCCAGGACTAGCCTGCCTCTGTTTTCAGCTAGACCTAGCACAGCGACCCTGCTTCCTAGCCGGGGCACCCCACTTCCCCCCAGTGATGATGAAGCTGTTGTTCTCCCTGCTGTTGAGGCAAAACCTGGAGGCAGAAAAACCTACAGTGACCAGACCCAAGGTGGCAGTTCCACAGTGCCAAGGGTGCCAGCGCCTTTAAGCCAATCGAATCAGAAAGATGCCTTTGATGTCCACGGGATGGAGGGCGTGGGCACTGTCAGGTCCAGAGGGCAGCCTGCAGCTGGGCAGGGAGTGGAATCCGTGAGCAGGGGACGGGTGGGAATGCTGCTCCCCAGATGGTCCCTTCTCTTCTCTGTGTGCTCAGAGATGGCTGCCTTCCTGGGCCTGTGACTGCTGTGAGGAGCTGGCCCTGAGCCCACCATTGGGAAGAGTCATGCAGTGGGCATCCCCTGAGCATGCCTAATATAGCCATCCCGGGGCCCGTGCGCCACGCTGCCTGTCACCCCGAGAGTGACTCTGCCGAATGACTCCAGGCAGCAAGACAGGGCAGGAGCAGGCCCTGGCTGGGGTCAGTGGGGAACCCACTACTCGGGTTGAGGCTTTCTCCCACTCGTCCTTTCTGCAGGTGGGAACCTGTCCTGTGGTCAGCTCGGCATAGCATGGCAGGGAACCCGAGTATCTAGTGTCCTCCAGGGAGCCCAGGGTGAGCGTCGGACAGAGTGGGGCATAGTCATTCACAGCTAGAGGCTTGTATATATTATCAAAATCTTATGGAAAAACAGATACACGGCTCTTTATACAACAGCAGGTGGGTGTGAGGCAAACATCTGCTTTGGCATCAGGTCCAGCTGCTGTCTATCCCTCCCTTCCCGTCCAGAGCCCACTCCCCAGCAGGCACTGTCCATCCAGGCCAGCTGCCCCTGCCATGTCCTCTGCTTAGCCCAGGAGGGGTTTGGGGGTACTCTCAGCCCTCCTCCCTCTCCCTTGGGCCCTCATGCCCTCTCCATCATCACTGCCCCACACAGAGTGCCACTGGCCCGGCAGCTTTGCCCCGAGGGCTCTTCAGAGGCCTGAATCCTGGCCCTGGCAGGAAGTGGGCTGGGCTGTGGGACATCTCTCCAGGATCAAGGCCTTCAGAAGCTCGCCGGCTCCATGGGCCCCAGGCATGCCACCTTCTCAGAGACGTGCTGAAGGACTCCTCTTGTCTAGAAACCACAGCTCCAGGTATAAAAGAAATTTTTGGAGAGCCTCAGAGACAAGAAAAGGAAAGTGAGAAGAGATAAGGCATCCTTCCTTGTGCATGGCCCAGGCCTCGAGCTCTCCGGTGGCAGAGTAGGGACAGTCACAGCAGGTC